GGCCTTTGACTTTCTGTTGCGCGGCGTCGACGGGCGTGACGATGGCTTTGGGGACGATGACGCTGTTGCGGTTTGCGGAGGAAGTGGATGTGGAGCGGGATTGGGATGGGGGTTGCGAGAGGGACATGCTGCTGCGCTTGCTGGCTAGCGAGGATGCACGTTGAGCTTGGGGTTGGGGCTGGAGCTGGGGTTGAGCCTGTGGTGCTTGGGGTGGTTGTGGCGGCGCAATGGTAACGCCTGGTTGCTGTTGTCTGATGGGAACGGTTACTGGCTTGCGCACTGGTGCTTGTCGTGCCTTGAGAGCAGCTTCTTTCTTTGCTGCCTCCGCTTCTTCCATTCGCTTCAGACGCTCTTCCTTCTTGATCCTTAGCTTCTCAGCGACGGCTGAACCGGGGAGCTCGAAAGTCGCTTTTGTCAGTGCTTTCGTCGATTTCGCATGGGGAGCCATGCTGATGCTAACAGGACGCTGCTTAGGTGCCATGCTGATACTAACGGGGCGCTGCTTAGGTGCTGATTGTGCAGGTGCTTCGGCTTCCCTCTTCAACCGCTCCTCCTTTTGTGCCTTGAGCTTCTCAGCAATTCTTTCGCCGGGGAGTTGGAACGCAGGTTTCGTCAGGGGCTTATCGGATTTCGGTGGAGGAGGCATGCTAATAGGTCGTGGTTTGCGAACCACACCCTCTGTCTCTCTCTTCTGCCGCTCCTCCTTTTGGGCCTTCAGTTTGGCGACAGTATCGTTACTTGAAAGCTGGAAGGTGGCCTTTGTGGGTGCGCGGCCCTTTGGTGGTGGTGCAGGTGTGGGGAATGACATACTGATCGGCCGGCGTTTCGAGGCAAGGTAATCTACTGTATCCGTGGAATCTACTCTAACATCTTTGTTAGGTGCCGTGCGGACACTGGATGCGCGAGCCATCGAAGACTTCACTGGCTTCATGCTCTTGGGCGCAGCGACACTCGGTGTCCTCGATAGCTTGGCAGCAGGCGCAGGCACTGGCCCTTTGCTGAGTACCTTCGATCGCATCGTCTGCGTAGTAGCTGCTTTTGGAAACTCTGCCTTCTGAGGCGACATCACTTCATTCGCATGGTTGAAGCTGGTGACTGAGGTCACATTTTCCAGTGCCTCCTCAAGCGCATCAATTGCCCCAAAAGACTCTTCCAGTCGCATCGGCGATTTTGAGGGGCTGCGCGACGCTCGTCGACTGGACGTATGGCTCCTGAGTGGTGTCATGGCATCTTCGCTGGGCATCTCGGCTACAAGTGTCTTGGGCTCTGGTTCCGAGCTCACTTCGACTGAGGGTGCAGGGACTTCAGCGTCAGCTTCAGGCACTTGGTCCTCAGACGAATCTTCAGTCGCGGTTGGCTCGACGGGTTGCTCCTCCTCATGGGGCTCGTCGATCCGTGGCACTGACGTAGTATGCTCTGTCTGTACAGTATCGGCTTTCTCTTGAGGCGCTTCCTCTACCTCCGGTATGGGCTCATCTTGCGCTTCCTCTACAGGCTTTACCGTAGCTGCTTCCTCCACGTGCTCTACTGTAGCTGGCGCTTCAATCTCCTGTGTCGACTCCTGTATCGGCTCCTGTGGGGGACTCTCAGCCTGCGCTTCTTCTGCGCCTGTTGTTGCATCTTCAGACGATGTCTCCTCGGGCGTATGTGCTTCTGCGGTCGTTTCCACAGTCGAAGGCACCTCCTCTGCAACTGGCGCTGGTTCTGGCTCTTGTGATTGGGCGCTGAGCTTCGCTTGTTTCGCTTCCTCCTCCTGCATAGCCAGTTGTCGGCGTGTCAATCGCGGCGCTGGAGTCACGGGTCGCTCGGTGATTGCGGGGGCTTCTGAGGCTCCTGTACATCATTAGTCCACGGTTGTTGGTCTGGAGCGGCTGCGAACTCACCATCGGAAGCGTCTTTGGAAACATCGTCGCCAGTTGGTTCGTTCGTGGGCGCTTCATCTGCGGCTTGCTCCTCTTCAGGTGCGGCTCCGGTCTGCTCCTCTTCGTCCTCCTCAGCCGCTTTGCCCTTCTTTCCCTTTTTCGCCCGGCCTTTGCCCTTCGCCTTCCTTCCTGGAGTCTTTGCGGGCGTCTTTGCGGGTGTTTTCGGAGCTAGCTCCTCGTCATCGTGGCGGGTCTGCTTGGGCGACGCATTTGAGGAAATTTGATTCAAGGGTGCACGCTCGGTCGCGTCGGTCGCATCATCGTTGCCCTGCTGGGCGCGAGCGCGTGTGACACGCATCGTCTTGGTAAAAGCGTCAAATGAACTGTCGTATAATTGTATCGAGCTGTCTATGCGCTGCTAGGATGCATTGATAGCGAATTGGTATCGTGTTGACGCTCGAGTGTTGATGCTGCACGAGAGTGGGCCCGATCATAACAAACATCCCTGCCGAGTAAAGTCCAGCCGTTTTCTCGCGAGCACGTGACGAGCGCTTGTTCACCCGCCACGCGACCGAATCGCGGACCCGTGGCACCCCACGATTCAGCAACTCCCGGGTCCGCATCCGTGCGTGTAGAAGTGTCTTTTCGTTCCGTAAATTTATGGGCGGCCATCCATAGACCCCTTATTTGCCAATCGCATCTCCAAATTCCTTCCCAGTCTCTCATTACTACCAGTAACTAATTTTCTTTTTTTTCTGACGCGTCCTCGTCTCCTGAACACGAAACAGTAATCGCAGATTGTCGCAATTGGCATAACGCAGCAACCGTTCGTGTCTATCAAAGCCACTTTGATCCATCGCGCGTCTCCGATCACCGGATGTTTGCAGCCCCGCGGTTGCGTCTCCTAGCCGTGAACAGCCGCCTTCAACCCCGCCCAAGCATGTCGTCACCTCGTGCGCGCGCTGGCTCCCGCCTTACACAGATCTCCAAGCATTTAGACTCGAAGCCCTTTCTCGAATTGAACACTCCCTTCTCCACTGAACGCACCGCCCGCATCGAAGACGAACAAGGCAATCGCATACCTCCCAAGAAGGCCGAAGAGTTCAAGCAGGAAGCCAAGAAGGAAATCAAGAAGGAAGTAGAGCAGGTCAAGAAGCTTGCGCCGGAACCACCCAAGAAGATGTCGAGCCAAGCACCACATCCTGCCCTGCTCATTCCTGGGCCCATTGAGTTTGACGATGCTGTACTTTCGTCCATGAGCCATTACAGGTAAGACACCTCTATGGCATTTACTGTTCATGCTGTTCGCAATCGCTAACCCCATCAGTGAATCGCACGTTGGCCAACCCTTTGTAAACACCTTCAGCGAAGTCCTCGGAAACCTGCGCAAGCTGTTCCTGTCCAGCGACCCCGCCGCGCAACCCTTCGTCATCTCTGGCTCTGGCACACTCGGATGGGACCAGGTCGCGGCCAACTTGGTAGAGCCTGGTGATGAGGTGCTCGTCCTCCACACTGGCTACTTTGCCGACTCATTCGCCGACTGCTTCGAAACCTACGGTGTCAAGGCTACACAGCTCAAAGCGCCCATTGGCGACCGACCACAACTCGATGAGGTGGAGAAGGCACTGAAGGAGAAGGAGTACAAAATCCTGACCGTCACCCACGTCGACACGTCGACTGGTGTGCTCAGCGAAATCAAGGCATTGAGCGAGCTTGTCCACAGGGTCAGTCCTGAGACATTGGTCGTAGTCGACGGTGTCTGCAGTGTTGGCTCCGAAGAGATCCGCTTCGACGAGTGGAAGCTCGATGCTGTCATCACGGCTTCGCAAAAGGGCATCGGTTGCCCAGCTGGTTTGAGCATCATGATGGTATCTGGCCGCGCGATTGAGAGGTTCAAGGCGAGGAAGACACGACCAACTTCTTACTTCGGCTCATGGAAGAACTGGTTGCCCAGTGAGTACCTCCTAAACTCTAGTGCAAGCGCATCAGTGGAACTAATGTGACCGCAGTCATGCAAAATTACGAAGCCAAGAAGGCGTCCTACTTCGCTACGCCCTCCCCACAACTCATCCACGCGCTCGACACTGCGCTCAAGCAGATCCTCGCCCGACCCGTTGAAGACTACTGGGCGGCACACAAGACCGCGTCGCAAAAGGTCAAGAAGGCCGTTGCTGATCTCGGTCTCAAGCAGCTTGCTTCCAAGCCAGAGAACCAGGCCACTGGTATGACCGCCATTTACCTACCCGAAGGTATGACACCTCCGGATGTCCTGCCCAACCTCATGAAGAAGGGTGTCATCTTCGCTGGTGGTCTGCACAAGGAGATCGCAACCAAGTACATTCGCTTCGGACACATGGGTGTCAGCGTCACCGACCCGAACCGACCGGATATCACCAAGGCGATTGAGAGCCTGAAGGAGGGTCTGGCGGAGGCTGGCTACAAAGCATAGCCGGTTAGTCCTACAACCCGACGAAGGAATTGATTTAGTATACCATATACCGAACTACCCGTTCGAAACAAACTTTCGCATACTACTACTAGTTGTACATAAACGGAAATTCAAAAATAGAACACAAGATTCACTACCAGGCCGCTGATGCAGCGTGATGATGAGTACAGTGGCTATGCCAAATCCTTCACACACTCCAAAACCAGCAGCTCTCCAACCAACGGCAGCAACACAGACTCTACTGTACATGCCCGAGGCAAATAATCGATCGCTAACTCACTGAGATCAACCAAACTAGCCTGCACGAGGCTAAGTTGCCAAGATTGCCCAGGAACAGCAACCTATGAGGTGAACTGCCGGCCCGTTGCCACCGAATGAAATCATCGAATTCTCTCCACACCACCACGCCTCTAACAGTCCAAGATGCGGCAAGTGGGGTCTGGCAAGGCTGTGTTCCTGGTGAGGTATTGCCGATGATGAATGGGCTTTTGGGGAATAATGTACTTAATTCCCCCGATGCAGCGGCGTGTCTTCGGAGGACTCAAATTGCTGTTGAAGCCATTGCGCATCGTTGTGATTTTTCTCTGGTGTTCTTATCCTACCAAGCTCTACTTGATTCTTGGGGCTAGCAACGTTGCCCAGAAACACAGCCGTGGCTGTGGTGAGGATTCAAGTTCCTCTCTTTCGCGATGACGTCTACATCGCGGAGCCTACAACACACTTGGGACACAGCATGGGCGACCGCACCACCCCAAGCATGCGCTACCCTACGCAATCTCAACGGCGCCGTCGCATGGGGCGAGACATGTGTCTTCCCTGAAGAAGATGAGGACCCGATACCCTTCAGCATAAACACCGCTTGCATGCCCTGGGTGACATCGAATATCTACCCATCGCCATCCGCATTCTACTCGCCCGCTACCGCATGCCCGGCTTCTTGGACGGCCGTTGCTACGCAAACAGACGCGAATGGAGAGGGTAGCGATAACAGGTGGATAGACGGAGAGATTGGGTTGCAGTGTTGCCCCGATGGGTTTCAGGCGGATGGAAGAGATGGATGTCGACCGGGTGGTAGTGGCAACTTCCCAGTTGTTGAATGCGGAGAAGCGGATGCGGAAGAGAACGAATTGAGGACATATGCTGGGGGATCTTGGCCAGCGAGCGCGACACCGAGTATCACTGCCTTGCACTTGAGGTATCAACCCAGTGATGCCGGCAGCGTAAACCCGACTGCTTCGGGCACAGCGACTGGTGCATCCGCAAGTAGCAGTGGTGGAAGCCAAGGAGGAGGAAGTGGTGGTGACAACAACGGCAGTGGTAGTGGAATCTCAACAGGTGCCATAGCAGCGATAGCCACCGTCATCCCAGTCGTCATGATCCTCGGAGCCTTAGCCCTATTCCTCCTCTGGCGTCGACGAAAGAAGAACAGAAAAGCAGCCCTCGCATCAAAGCACATGGGCGATGAAAAAGACGACGACCCAACAAGACCCGCCGACGACAACACCAATCACTCCGCATCCGCCTACCTCCCCTTACCAAAAGGCACAACCACAACCGCAGCCCACTTCTCCAACTCGTCACAGAACCCGCACGAAACCCCCGAATGGAACGTCGAGATGGACGCTACAGAAGCTGAGCGCCAGAAACTGGCTAGTACTGCACCGGCATATGGAAGTTCCCCGTCTGGAATGAGTCTGGGGAATGGGGGTGAGGCAACGGAACTTGCGGGGTTGGCGAGGGTGCCGAGGAAACCTATTGCGCCGGTGGAAATTGATGGGAATGCTGTTATTCCGGAGGTGGGGGATGCGTATATTCCGTATAGGCCTGGGAGGGAGGGCAGCTAGGATGTTTGATACCCGGATATTTGATTTGTTAGTACTGCAAGTCTGTGTGTTTGTGATGTGTATGATGGTACTCCTCTTCCACTGTGCGCTATCTCTTGACTCAGTATTGAATTAGGTTGCGCAGTCCCGCAGGCTGAACCCGAGGCGCATTCTCTCAAGATCATGAGTTGTTTTCTTTCCCCAACACCGGTCTATGTGCGGCATGAGTGAATCGATTTGAGGGATTTATGCAAGATAGGATGCTGCGTTGGCCTCTCCATATCCAATTGACCTCCAAGGCTGAACTCAGCAGGGAGGCTGACTTCGGCACGCTGGAGGCTCTCTGCCTGAGGCTGAGATCAGTGTCTCTTTGATTGGCCTTGTTTGACTTATGAGCGTCATTGGACCTCAAATCTGATGTTTTGCTGGCTGAGTATCGGGCTGTGTTGTTGTTCTCCGCACCGGTGAGAGCCTCACTTGCACTGCTGACCGACTTTGTGCCTCGGAGAAAGCTCTTGAAGTATGTACTGCCCAATCATTTCCCCAGACTCAGAGCTTTTGTGTTGGATTGTGGCTATGTATGAGATCATCGGGTACTCCATGGCACCTTGATCTCTTCCTGCAGGAAACGCTAACCCCAACAGCACCCTCGGGAAGCCACATTGAACACATATAATTGAGCTCTGCCCATCCTCACATTCCGAAAACCCGTTTGGGAATTTATTCGACCCCGTTCATGATGCTGAAAAAGGTACGTACAATCGAGAAAATGCTATAAGATTACGGGGGTACGGATGTCACATAATGATACCATCCACTTCCACCTGTTCCAATTGAGTCTTTGTCATCGTTGGTACTTGCAGTGACTTGACTTATTACTATCTTCTGGCCTCAATCACCTTACTGCTTGCCTATTTCTCCCTCTTAGTACTTGTAACTCTCCAACAAGCTACCTAATGTCCAACGCAGACAGCTCTACAGAGCTTGCCTTGCAGATATGCTTTGGTATATTTGGTGTTTTCAGTACCGTTGCTACCCTGGCTGGTCTTCACCACCATGACTCGCTTGGCTGCGTCTTACTTCGGCGGCTAAGAGGCCGCCCCATCTTTCGTACGTGGCATATTTAATGAGCCTATGAAACATGTGTCTGACCAGTTTGCCTAAGATACCCATGACCTGGAGGTGGAGGCCGCCAATACCAGCCTTGAGGATCTTGATGTCATTGCCGACTGTTCGATCCCACCTTTGAGGAGGCCTACACTACCACCTTCCTACGAGCAGTCCGGTGAGGGCTCCCAGTTTGGGGGCTTTCTCAATGCCGACATCGATGTTGGTCCTCCCAAAAGTGAGCCTGATATCTCACAACCTTGAGTGGAAGATGAAAGGACTCATGCGTCTGAGTTGTCAGCTTGTGTGTCCTGCATGGAAAGAAGGCTTGGGGAAGTCCGTGACACATCTCTTTGTTGTGCAGATGGCATGCATATTCACCCGCTGTTTGTTCGGTACATACACGAGAAGCTTAGAGGATAGGCGTAATCCAGTATTCCATATACAAAGACAATCGAAATCATGTTGCCATTGTTATCGCTTCTGTTTGCAATGAACATTATATTTTCAGCAGTTCGGATTGTTGGAGTAAAACAAAGCGCGAATACGAAGCAATGTGCTCGTCATTGGTACAGCATGGTACGTAAAATAAAACAGCAGCGTGATTGTAATGACAGTAGCAAATAAACGCCAAGTCTATGAAGCCCAAAGAAAAGTATGACAGCCCTATCACTTCCAGGTTTTATCCAGGAAATGAGTTTCGTTGTGGTGACAGTTCAAAAGAAAGAAGGTATGTGACCTGCAGTTTGTCTTGGACAACCATGGCCATGTTTCGATATAAGGATTATGCGGCGACGAGATGAGATAGGAGGTGAAAGGTCAACCTGGAGCCGAAGCGTTATGCGCTTGAGATTTGCGACATCTCAGAAGTGTCTCCTCGGCTTCATAAGACCGAACTTTTCAGCATCCCCTCGCCCCAGTACCACATCGTATGCGGGATTCTCCGTTGTCGTCACCCAAAACCGGGTCTCTTGTATATGCTTGGTATTGCTTCCGAAGCACCAAGTCAAGTCGACGTATCCTTCCACCACTTCGCCTCGATTGTTGGCGAGAACGCACTCGGTTTTTTCGCTCGTATGCACTGGAACATCCAGTACCTGCAACATGGGCCGTGATATGATGCTTTCCGTAGTATTTGGATCGCATGAGAGGACTGCTACCTCCCAAGTTTCCGAACTACCCTTTGTTCGAGAGCAGATCTCAATTTGGACCGGCTGAGGGATTCGTTGTCTTCGCTGGATCTCGTTAACAATGACCGATGACGGTGGAGGACGACGCACACCAAATGACAGCAACCTGGAGAGTCCACAACCGCACATGTTTGGTATTCAATTGGTTTGAGGGTGGTGTTTCACGCGGAAATGTGATATCGTTGTTAATGGGAATGCGATAGCGTTGTTGATGCGTGTTGAATCGAGATGTACGTTATGAGTGTAATGAGTAAGGAGGTCCTCCAAAAGTTGAGGCATACAGCCCGCCTATATAAAAGCGGCCAATAGCCCAAGGCACGTTTTCGGTCGCGCAGAAGGATCCTGTGCATTACCCTGAAGGACTGCACGTATGGCAACTCGAACAACATGAAAGCTCAGATGCGCTGCGCAAGCGGGACAAATCCAATGAGAATCTTGTCCTCTCTAGTGGCGCAGTCATCATCCTACTGATACGTGATTGAATCACCCGAGCGAACTGATCTCGACTGTTCTTGCGTCATTGCCTGAAAGAAGGCAATCATTGCCTGTTCCCGGGGTAGTCAGATGGGCGCAGCAGCAGGGCATGTTTTTTACCGATCAGTGTTGAACTGTAGCCTCGTCAGCCAAATTTTGATGTTCGGAACGGTATTATTCTTCATCTCCGCTGTCTCCTCCTGTATGCGAAGGGACAGATGAAGTGGAAGCGATAGTTTCCAGGTGTGTTGTTCGTGTAGTGTGAAATTGATTGCAGGCGGACTGCGATGCACGCGTGACCCGACTGGCAGGTGCCCGCCGGGAGGCAACCACCCGTGGACTAGTGCTAGCGCCAGCACGCAACCTTATCCGCAGCAGGCTGCGAAACCTTGGAATCTCACATACACCAACGTAGCCAGGATGCGTCCTTGTGGCTGCCTACTCATTTGCCCTTCCATTTGATTTGTCGTTCTGCGATATCTGAAGTACTTTCGCTTGTGCTTCCACCTCCACGGATAACGCCTGTTTCGTCGCACAAAGATGGACAACATCGAAACATTTGAGCTACGATTGTCATCGATTTCGCAACGATCCAAACGAATGTATGTTTCGCACTCAAAAGTGGCCTATCGCTGGTGGTAGGGGTGGGTATAGCTTACCTAGGTAGCGATGAATGAGATGTAGGCCTGACGAATATGCCTGCATCTCAGGCTGAGGGCTGCTTGACATTGCAGATGTATGCAGCTTCACTCAGAGGTCCTTTTGCCCTCTTCATACGCATGGCTGATCAAATGCACATGGTGCATTGGATGACGTCGAGGCTCTTTACGCACAATCGAGTGCTAAGTTCGACATATATGGGCGCAATGAGTGACACTCGAACCATGTATGAAGGCTATCTAACCACCAAGGAACAATGTCGTCGCAAGATCCGCTTGATCATTTTGTAATAGGGTATCCGAAACTGGCTGCACAGATGGAGATACTGCCTGAGCTCGCTGTATTCCGCAGGTTTGGGGCTCTCAATGCTCAAAACCTGCTGTACATGCAAGCTGAGCTCACATATCTGGAAGAGAAGCTACGAAAGCAACAGCTGGCCGACAAAATTGACGGATCAGGGAAGAGGGCAAAATTTGCTCTGGATTGGTTCTGGCTGCGTGAATCCGAGAAGGATGGCGCAGGTGAACAACTGGAATTGGTTATGAAGATTAGGGAAACAATGAAAGAGTACAGTGTGTCCAACCATTCTCCAGGGGACGCATAGAGCTGACTAAAGTAGATGACGCGTTAGTACAACAAGCCAAAATCCTGAAGTATCCAAAGCCTAGCACTTGGGATCTCCACCACATCCAGAACTATCTCCAGTCTGCAGCAATGGGCGACCTTGCGTTAAGTGGAGACGACGCAGAGATATGGGGCTCTGCATGCAATCGAAAGTCCTACAAGCCAGATCTGGTGACTCTATGTCCTCGCGCAAAGAAGGACGCCTTTTCAGCATGGGCTGCGGAGAGTACCATCACCAACCTCTTCAGGTGTGGCTGTGCTCGACACATGAAGCCTTCCCGCGTTCATGGAGTGGTCGGCTACGAAGATAGCACTATCTATCGCATTACGTACTGGATCACCAGTATTCTCGCGTCTCTCATACCGATAGCATCTATCGCCGTGCTGTACCGCGTTCAGTCCATGAATGCACGACTGGGGATAATTGCCGGGTTTAATGTTCTGGTTTCTATCTGCTTGATGGGTTTGGCTAACGCGAAACGCGCCGAGATGTTTGCTATCACAGCTGCGTGAGTACATTCACATCCTCCTCGATGCTCGCCGGCTGACGAGACTCAAGGTTCGCTGCTGTACAGGTCGTCTTTGTTGGGTCTGATAGGAGCACTGTAGGATGAGGAGGATTACTCTGAATTCAATCGCAAGAAGAAACGATCCTTTCTAGACGGAGACATGAACACGCCCAAAGAAAACAGTATTGGTGACCACTTACCCCGTAACTCCTTCGCTTAGCCTCGGTAGAACCTGTGTCGGTCGTATGCGTTGTAACCTCCTGCATGCGTGCGCCACCAACTTCGGCACCAGACTCATCCGGCCACTTAGTCATTGGAGCGACTGAGTTAAAGCTCACCCCGCCCCGAATCAGCTCGCCTCCCAATTAGCGATCCAAACAACAGTCAACACAAAAAGCCGTCGTCTTTGTCTCATCGCAGTCCGGCCCCCGTCCATTGTTGACGTGTCATCCTTACGTCAACTGGAATCGGCGACCGAAACAATCATGAGTGTATCCAAAGACCCATTCCAGGGGTTATACGAGTGTGTAATATGTTTGGTTTCAGGGTTTCCGAGCCGCGGCTGCTTGTTTCTGTCCAAGTCAGTATTGCAACCATGGATCAGAGCTTTGACGGCTCACCTGTTGCTGTTCATACTTCCTCTTCTCCTCTCGCTCTTTCTTACGTCTCTCTTCAGCCTCTCGCTGTTTTTGAGCGATCTTGGCAGCTGTTATGCGTCAGTAATGGTCTACGATTTGCGGCTAAGAACGTACAGTCGACACGCGGCGGTGAAGTTATAAAGGCTCCGAAGAACTCGCGGTTCCCTTGCAAGAGACCCAACTTTACGATCGTATCTCTCCCAATCACGAGTTCGAATATCTCCAGATCTACCACGTAGAAAGTCGAAATTTCATATCGCGGTCGAAAACTGGGGACTTTTCGACGATCGCTGCACCACCATCTCGCTCTGACCTCACCCAAGCACGGCACTTTGGTATTGTTGCTGAGTGTTATACTGATCGATTCTGTACTTGGGCTTGGTGACAGACCAAAGACCTCTAGAAATTGAGGAGTGACCAAGTTGTACTGGCTTTGCGTATCCACAAGAGCAACGCCAGGGTTGTATTTTGACCACTCATCGCGATCTTTGTCCCATAAAGCGACATCCACATTTCTTTGGAAGTTCTCGTTCTTCCTTGCGGGTGTGAAGCTGCGTCGGAGCATGTGTGATAGCGAAGGAGCATCGCATCTCGATGTGTTGGACGGCAGATAAGACTTAAGGCATCGTTTGAACCTAGAGCACGCGCAGCTGAATGGGAGCTTGTGCCGCTTGGTCTTGGTCTTGAGTAACTCTTCGTTCTCATCCATCTGGCTAGAGACTTGTGTAGGAAGTGTCGGGTCGATTGATACGGTGCGATCACCTTCGACAAATTGTTAGCTTTGAGCAAAGCATCTCCGCTACAAGGCTTAGTGACTCACTGCGCGGAGAGAACAGTCTCTTGACTTTACTGGTTCGATCCACGTTGGCTGGGAAGGTTTGGTTGTTCATAGTGGTAACAATGCAAGATATGAGAGGTGGAAGGCGAGGTTCGCGGATATTACGCAACGCTGCAGGAGATCAAGGGTTGGTATAGTAGAATGGTTCATCAGGGCGAAGGCTGAGTTTGATCGGGCTTAGACCTCGGAGCCTCACCAGGTTGCCTACTCAGGTGCTGTGCCACACTCACAGTGGCGACGACCGCGTTACCGGAGAGCGCTCACAGCACACGCCTAGGCGCTCGACTGGTCAAGATCCGCTGGAAAGGCCTGGCAGACGTGTCCATACCGGACCTAGACCTTGTTTAGGTGGCGCAGCAACTCTACAAGGGGTATCATATCCGCACATATCGTTGCTCTGATGTGAAAAGCAGTTTCCGAAAGCCCAGGGATCACGGACATGTCTTCCACGAGTAAAGCGTTCATGGAATCGGGATACATGTTAGTTACTGTAAACCGCGATTGATTCGACACCCATACGAAATGCTTCAACGAATGCGAAAGTCATGACGTGCCAGTGTTGTTCATACAACGATCAACGACTGAACCGCTCGACATGTGACGCTTGGGGACTCGGCTCAAGCGACACATAACGCCTGATTTGAAACAGAAGTGTTTGCCTTGGAGAACCTGCGTTCTGTACAAGCGGTCAAACGTCCAAACCACCGTCCGGCTACGCGGTGATCCAACACTCGACGCATACGGGGCAAGACGAACTCACCGGATACGGTGAACGTATGGTACGGACAGATTCCCACGCTCTTCGAACCATCGCAGCTGAGTCTGTGGTTCCCTGATATGCAGCCTGATTCTGGTACCGGTCAGCCGCTGCACATGGTCAGATTCGTGGAAGGCTGTGGCGCAGCAGGGTACTGGACTGCACATCCGGTGGCTCCGAAACAATATCAGCAGTGCAAGATGAAGCTGCTATCGTCTAGGCACTGACGTCTTTGTGCGTGATATTATCAGAAACTGCCTCGACGAGCGCCTTGTACGAGCGACGTCATTGAGCATCATGATGTCGTGGTGTGTTGCTCTTTGCGCTTTGTTCGCGTTCACGGTGTCAAATAAGCTTGAGAGCCTGTGCCAGGCTCTGAGCACAGTATTGGTGTGTATCGTGTCTTGATGTATCGATTAACATGCAGACTCCTTCTAGTGGAGCAACGTTCTCCTGGCGAACGTCCGGGCTGTGCAACTATCCGAGCGAGCTTTCCACCGTTCACTGGCAACGATGAGCTGGCTTTGTCTGGCGCATGAACCTGTCAAAGCGTCCGTTCAGTCCGCTATGGCGCGTAAATCGATTAGGTTGCCTTATCTGCCATGGTGCGCTTTGGTTCACATATGCGATCATAGCGAGCCCGAGACCCGATCGCTTTCCTATATATCAACGAAAAATCGACTGCGCTTTCGACTCTGGCTAGGCCCTGGTATTGGTTCGGGCCCGTCGTTGGAATTGTGCTTTGCCATACGGTATGATTGCGAGACACCAAAGTACCATCTCAATGACCAGCCCGAACCAGGACCAGACCGCAGTCTGAGTCAAAGACGCACTCTATTCATTCTGCGATTGCGATAGTTTCGATGCGCTTCCCTACGTAGGGCCCTGACATGGATCTGATTCCAAACCATGCCCCTCCGAGTACTCGTCGTCATCGTTGTGATCAAGACAAAGTGCTCCAATCCATACGATTCTTTCGAAAGCATAAGGGCCACTATCCCGGACGTATCGCAGTAGAGATGCTAGGCCCTCAGGGACGCGAAGCTCTATTGACCTAGCCAATTCGCATTAGCAAAGTCGCGAGAATTAGTGAGTAGTCAACATATGCCAAAACCTGGAATCGTATTCGATGAAGTAAATCACACACTTTTCCCAAGCTGTCAAAAACCTGAACTCCGCAATAGTGACATTGGAACGGTCCTGCACGTGCAGACACTCCCTTAACCCCCCTAACCATCAACCTTAGCCGCACTATCAGCAACCTCCCCAGCCGTCTCAGCCATCTCCTCATCCTCTCTCTTCTCCGCCTCCACCTCCCCCTTCCCCGGCACCCCCTCCTTATCACCCACAAGCTCCCTCACAACATCAACCGTAGCCGCCGGACCACCAGGCTGCACCGCCAGCACCTTGCCCTCCTTGTCAACAACAAAGACACCGCGCGTCGTGCTCTTCGGCGGCTTCTTGAAGCCAATGGCCTTGATGAGGCTCTGTGAAGGGTCGCAAAGCAGGGTGTAGGGCAGCTTCTGCTTGGTCTTGAAGGTGGTGTTGGCTTTGGGGCTGTCGGCGGAGAGACCGTAGATGGAGTAGCCGGTTGCGGTGAGGGGGTCGTAGGAGTCGCGGAAGAGGCAGGCTTGTTTTGTGCCTGTGATTGGATGTGTTAGTACTGCGAATGTGGATGTGAGGGAGATGTCAGGGGTTGGAGACTTACATCCTGGCGTTGAGGCCTTGGGGTAGGTGAAGAGTACGACGCCGGCCTTGCTCTGCTCTACGAGCTTTGCAAGCGTTGTCTTGTCTCCGTCATTCGTCTCGAATTCTCCGCCAAAGGACGCGAGGTCAATTGTGTCGCCGACCTTGGGTGGGCCGGTCGCAGCAGCAGCGGACTCGCCGTTGCTCTTACCGACAACAGCTTCCTTGACAGCCTCGACCTGCTCAGTGACGGTTTCCTGGACTTTCTCAACGACAGTCTTTTCTTCGGGCTTCTTCTCCTTGGCGGGCGCCTTCTTCTTTGTCGGGCGCACAGGCGCTGGGGGCGCTTCCTTGCGCTTACGGAGCTCGACGGGCATGTTGAGAATGGAGTCGCAAGATAATATCGCAGTCGCGTCAGTGTCGCGGGGACGTATAAACCTCAATCAGGGGGAAATTGGGCAGCGAAGAGGTCGGGGTCGGACGCTTGAGCGCTCGTGGAAATCGAGGTGGGACGGTTGGCTAAGGGCAGGAGTACGAAAACCAGCGGAACAGTGGTACAACCCTTCGCAATATGAACAATTCGTAACCAGTTCGCGGGAAAGATGTCCTCGGCCTGATTCAGTTAAGAATTATAATATGTTGCGTCGTCTAGTCAACGGATCGCAGCGTAAGCATCGTGGTGAGCCCGAGCGAGGCCAGGTCGTCCAGCCTCCTCACTTGGCATGACCGTCCACATCGATATTAGCCAGATTACCTGAGCCTGCGTCTTTTTCTTCGGGAAACAGCTTATTTCGGACGCGCACTGGGGTAGGAGAGGCTTGTCATTGGCTCGTGAAGTGAGGAGTCGTGAGATGCGCAGCGCTCGGTTGTGCAGGTCCCGGCGCGTCATAGCTTCCCTTGCGCGATGCTACTGTTCAGCAGCAACACAGTCTCCCGAAAAGGCCACAATTCATATCGAATGCGTTGATTTTCTGATATTTACAACACAATTGCGCTTTTAATTAACCTACGTGTTGATTCTTCACCCCATAACGCCCATCAGCGAGCTTGAAAAGCACGAGAACACCCTCCAAATCCATGCGCTCCATCTATGCATCTTCGGTACCTCCTGAAACCCAGCTCACAGGATGCCAGTTGTTCTCGCAAGAGAATACCTTGCCACCAGACCCGCGGTTCAACGCCCATCCTGACGACCACATTCCAAGCCCAAACTGTAGCAGAGGGTCAGCACTTGTTTTGTAACGTCTCGGGGAGTGGCCTCACAATGAGCATCCCTAGAATGACAATAGAGATATTCAAGATGGTAAAAGCCGTTTGCGAAGTCGACGAGAACAGCCTACCGTTCTTTTTATTGTGCCACAGCCACATCAGTGGAGGAAGAGCATCTACACGCGTCAGCCAGTGCACCTACAATTACTCACAGTGAGTCGTGCTAGTAGTGACTTACAACTAAACCAGCTTCCAAAGAGAGCTCCAATCAATCCCAACAATAAGTTAAAGTTTGGCACTGCTTCAGCCAAGATCCAGCTTACCAGCCACGCGCCTGTACATATAGCGCCCCAACTTCCCAAGCTCTTCCAGCTGTTGGTAGATGCTACGTTTGTCCCCTTCCATACGCGAAAGTAGATGTATTTGGTCGCTACGGAGCCATTGACTACACCTGCGACGATGATTGTGGGCAGCGCGATGCCGAAACAGATCTTGCTAACGAGGGGGGATGCCGAACCGAGGGCGGGCGAGGCTACGAGAGGCCCGGCGTAGTAGTATATGATGACGGATATGAGCATGTAGAATGTGACTGCGATACCCTGCTCGAAGATGAGAGCTTTGCGGAAGTCGCGCGGGTCTTCCAGTTCGGATTGGAATGAGAAGAACGCGACGTGTCCAGCTGCATAGAGTCAGCAGACGTCTTTATGACCACAGAACGGGAATTAACCTACTGTAAGCTAGGACGATGTTCATCTGCAGAGTTGGAGGTACGAAGTCAGTATATGGCTCACATGCACTTCGTACAGCCAGAACTTACCACGGGTGCGAGTCCCTTGACGAGTGGTACATCGGGTCGCACAGCAACGATGTTGCCCATGTCTGGCTTCTGGATACTAATCGCGATCATGGTTACCGTAACCGCCACGATAATGGAACCGCAAGCTGAAATATGTCAGTCGCGAGTTCACACGAAGGGATCGGATCCTTTAGCCTACAAAAGTAGCTAAAGTAGCTGATGTTCTTGAACGTTCTGGGCAATCCTAGCAGGAAGGAGAATATCAATCCGACGACGGTGAAGACGATAGTGCAAGTGCCGTGGTCGGTCATCGCATTCATCGCGACCGCAAAGGTCAAGATGTGCGCCCCCATGATGAATATCAGGACTAATAGCTGTCCGACAGCAAGCACCTCGCGAAGCACTGGCCCACTCATAAGCATGCCGCGATCCGCGTAGTTCGCTACGGACGGATGAGCCAGCTTGAACTCGCCGATCAAATAGCCAGTGTATGTAGCGATGATGCCTAGGAAGCATATGCAGAGTAGACCGGGGACGAGGCCGAGGATCGCAAGCGCTTGAGGAAGGGCGAGGACGCCTAATGATACATTCTCCGCCAGCATAACTTGACTATGTTATTGGGATGATGGTGTGGAGGTACGGGGGGCTTACGAGTGCCGACATTCCTGGCAGTTGAAAGTCAGCGATAGTTCAAAGAAAGATCTCACGCCCAGCGAACGATGCATGCCGTACGCCGAGGGGCACCAAAGTACCGTTAAATCTCGTTCAGTGACACTGCATACAGCATCAGGTAGTTTGTGTACATACCACCACTTGCACGTCTTGTACTGTATCTCAGCGCCTTCCTCGTTACCAAAAATATCCTGTTCTTCAGCTGGCGTAGCCTGTCCTTCGAGGTCCGCCGACAGATTTAGTTGAGGCTGAATCAGTTGCTCATCCAAGGGCCCTTCCGGTGTGGTTTTCTCTACTGCGTGCCTAGCCATGGCTTTCTGTCGCTTGAGCTGTCTCTGCAGTCGTCGCGCGGATATTGTCGTGAAGATGGCCGGTGGAATACGAGGAACGGAGAATAACGTTAGGATGAGAAAAGGATGACAGGAGCCGGTCAATCGTAGTAGCTGACGTTGTCACGACACGGTACCAGTCTGGAATGCTGCAAGCGTGAGCGCAGTTATGAGCTCGTTAATGGCTATGCAATGACGGGCGCAGTTCGCTCAATTTGAAGACCATGAAATGATGTGGGCCAAACAAGCCCCTGCCATTGTAAAGCATGGTCGAAATTGTGGGTGAGATGTTTGGGTGTACCACGGAAGCTTGTAGGATAGGGACATGCAGGGAGAGTAACAGGTAGCGGAACATATCAAATGAATGGATATGGACGCGTATCTTGAGATAAGACATAGTACCAGGCCAGGGCCACATCCTAATGTAATGATTACACTGGTATTGCAGCGGAGTGCGGAGGCACTGATTGCAGGCTTGAGCTGCGGTAGCGAACCCTTGATACCCAAGTTTCGGGCACGCGTCGCTATCAATCTGTACACTGTACGCGGATATCCACAGTCTCAAAACGTACGACATGAAAAGAGAAGACTGGGATGAAAGAGCAACGACAGCAACTGTGTGGTTCCCAGTTCGAGACTGGATGTCAGAAGTGCTGCGTGTCAGGTAGTGTATAGGTAGAGATCTGAGTCGTTATTCATGCGATAAGAACACCACAAGAGATGATGGCTTGGTGACAGTGGTTGGAGTGGGGAAGAAGAGTCTCCAATGGGTGGAATAGATGTTAGCTACGTCATCACGTGGACGCGTGAGGCAAGCGCGATCCGAGCTGCCGCCACTCCACACTCCCTCATTCTCCCCCGCACGTAAGCCAATCGCACCAGACTGCCAAACCGATACCCTCTCGTTCGCCTTGCGACGCCAATTACATCACACACACGCCATGAACTCCGACCTGGGCCTTCCGCCGACGCGAGCGACCCGCAAGCGAAAGACTACCACGTACGCCGACGACGATAACGATGACGATGCGCACCTCAAAAACCAGTCCACACCACGGAAAGCCAGAAAGACGAAGAGCGCACCCGAAGTAATCGACCTGACGGGGGATTCTCCCAAGAAGACTCAGAAGACTCCTGCTAAGAAGAGAGGCAAGCGCGATGCGGATGCGCCTGCCGAAGAGAAGCGTGCGAGGGTGTTCCGCAAGCAGGCACCACAAAGCTACCTCGCGATCAAGGAAAGAGCATTCACGCAGCGCCTCACGGTCCTTTCGCGCGACCGCTGCGGTAGCGATGATGTGCCCGAGGAGAAGGTCATTGTCGCAGGCTCCACAGGCAACGTCTACACCGTCTCAGTTGGTCTCGTCCCAAGCTGTGACTGTCCACACGCGAAGAAGGGCAATCAATGCAAGCACATCATATACGTCATGCTGCGCGTGTTGAAGGCACGGGAAGACGTCGCATACCAATTAGCCCTCATCCGCTCCGAGCTGCGCGAAGTCATCAAGAACGCGCCGCCCATTCCCGGCGTTGAGACAGACGGAAAGGACGGCACTGAACAAGAGGGCCAAGACGGTAACCGCAAGCCCATCGAGGGTGAATGCCCCATCTGCTACGACGAACTCGGCGAGAATGAACCCATCGTATACTGTAAAGCCAGCTGTGGAAACAACGTGCACAAAGCCTGTATGGCGAATTGGATCGCGGTCTCAAAGGGCAAAGCGACTTGTCCATACTGTCGTGCCAAGTGGGAGGCAGACACAGGCTTCGAGGGTAAGCTGGGTGAAGTCGATACAAAGAATCTGGAGAGGAATGAGGACGGCTATGTCAATGTTGCAGGACAGCTCGGTCTCAGTGGTGAGCGGGATTATTCCACATATCATCAGTACTGGGTCCGACGGCATTTAGGCCATGGTGGACGGAGGAGGGGAGGCTACGACTACGATGGTGACTACTAGGCCCATGGCTGTTGAGGCATGAGTGTGTAGGAAGTGTATATTTGGCGTTCAGGACATTGATACCCAGTAGCGACAGGCGCACGGCACTTTGCCAAACACATTTCATCAGTCGTATCTCTAAAACAATTCCTCGTTTGACTCAACCGCTTCCTCGCTTTCCTTCGTTTACTCAACATCACGCGTATTCACTCCCCCCATCTCCAGCTCCACTCACCTCGGCCGCATCGGAAATTAAACCCTCAAGAATAGCACAAATAGCGATCGCCACGTACGCAGCGCAACTCCCCCAAACATACCCACCTTCCACCGGCCCCATCTTGCATAACCAAGAAAAATCGATCACCATGATCTGAACATCATCAGCTGCATCCGCTTTCGCCTCGTTTGCAGACCCACAACCCTTTTCCTCTTTCTGCCGTTGACACGATCAGCATGAACGGACGGAGGGCCTCGGCGAATTTATTTCACAGCTAGTAATGTTTAGTAGCGAGTGTGTGTGCTACCATCCCGTCCGAAGCTGAATACGAGAGAGTAATGACGCGTACCAATCTTGCGAGGAAACGATCCCAGATGCGGTCTATTGATAGCGGATGTGGTATAGATCCACACCAGCCAGTAGTCGCTCGAGCCATGGGTGATCAACAACGACAGCGCACGTTCCTTCCACCAACAAGACGCTGCATAGTATGTACTGCGAAAAGGCTGTCGGCGTCTGAAAGCATGTTGTGAGCAGTCACATACCCTGCGGCACGGTAAGTAACTTGAAGCGGCTCGAAAAGGGAGAACCGGGGCTGAACGCGACTGGCTGAATGGAGACGTGCAGCACGAGACCCGCGACCGTGGGCACTGCGGCTGCGAGTGAGTGGCTGTGTTTGCTTTATTAGACGTTACACTTGTGGCCGATCCATGCGAGAACGTGCAAGCGGTGGCGCCAGCGACGATGTACAGGGATGGGGGTTGGAACAGTATGCAGGTACAGTGATCAGCTCTGCAGATTAAGTTTGTGTCACTGGAGATCTCTGATCCGGGCTTGCGACAGAGTTTCGACGAGAGCGGCAAAGGGAAACGCCGGCGCTCAAACTCATTCAGGAAACATCACGATTGAGATTAAAGGCAGGATTCAGTTGCAAAAAGAGTAAATTCAAGAAAACTAGATAAACGCCAGGTCATTTGACAACCGCAACAAAGGAAAAGTCTAGGAACAAATCGAGGTTCTTCATCAAACATTGCAGTCTGACTTTGCCCATGTACTAGAGCCCGACGAGCATGAGGGAATCCGGAGAGTGATGTGGAAGAAGACAGTCAATATATTGTCGAATGTACATGATATCAACTGTCTAGTCCCGACTTTTACGTGAACAATCCATCACAAAGGAAACCACCCAACGCTTTGCCCCTGCCCGAGGGAACTTGATACAGTAGACAGACAAGACATGCGAGAATGCGGATCAAGCGATCCTACCCAACAAAGGACACTAAGAAAACGCGAAAGCTCATATACAAGAAATGCACTTTAGCGCTTAGTAGGTGCCGTAGCCGGAGCCGTAACCGCTGCCAGAGCCGTAGCTGTTGTCAGGGGTAGGGGTGGGGGCAGCGGAGGAAGAGGCGACGGTGGAAGCCTCGGGAGTCTGGGTGGAGACGGCAGCAGAGCTGGAGGCACCGCCGTAGCCGCCACCGACGGGGTAGGCAGCAGAGCTGGTCTCAGCGGAGGCGGGGACGCTGGAGGAGGGGATGGCAGTCTCGCCGGTGGGGGTGGCTACCTCAGAGACGAAAGAGAAGCTGGGGAGGACCGAGGTGGGGACGGCACCGGTACCGGTGGGCATGGCAGGCTTGGTGGAGGTCTTGAAGCCAGTGGGGCCGACAGGGTAGGGGTTGGTGCCGTTACCGGGGACGGGGTACATGGCAGTGGGGACGGCGGGCATGCTGGAGGAGGCAGTCTGCTCAGAGGGAACCTCGGGGGTTGGCTCAGGAGCGTTGGGGGTAGCAGCGGGGTAGTCACCACCCTTGGTAACGGTGACGGTCTCCTTGGCAGTTACGGTAACAGTGACGGGAGCAGCGCAGTCCTCACCACCCTCGCTTCCAGCAGGAGTGGAGGGCTTGGCCTCACCACCAGCAGGGCCAGTGGGGTAGGCACCGTTGCCACCAGCAGGTCCGGAGGGGTTGGACTCGGAGTCAGCGGGGACATCGCCCTCACCAGTGGGAGTGGGCTTGACGGTGATGTACTTGGTGGAGGTGGAGGTAGACTTGATGGTGGAAGTGACATCCTCCTCACCGGCGGGGCCAGTGGGGTAGGAGCCCTCGCCGCCAGCAGGGCCAGTAGCCTCAGAGGGAACCTCACCAGTAGGAGTGGGCTTGCCGACAGTGACGACGACAGTGGAGTACTGGGTGGAGGTAGAGGTGGAGGTGACCTCAGTGGTGACTGGGTGAGCAGTCGAGCCAACACCGACGGTGTAGACGAGGGTCTCGGTGTAGGTCTGGACGACCTCAGAGACGGGGTAGGAGCTGGTCATGGCCGAGCTGCCGGTGGGCTTGGGGAGGTCAGACTCGGGGCAGACGGTGGTGCCGACGGCAACAACGCTGGTGACGAGCGCGGTGGAGTGGGCCGGGCAGTCAGTGACGGTAGGGGGGCAAGCAGTCTTGGTGAAGATCTGGGTGCTGTAGATGGTGGAGGTCACCATGTCGCTGATGGGGGTGGAGGAGACACCGCTGGGAACCATGCCAGTGCCGGTAGGGACCATAGCAGAGCCAGTGGGGTAGAGACCAGTTCCGGCCATGCTGCTGGTGGTGGCAGCCTCAGGAACGACCGAGGAGGGGACACCTCCGTAGCCGCCACCGACTGGGTAAGAGCCGGAGGGGATGGCAGAGCTTATGCTGACGCCGGGAACGACGGAGCTGCTGGTGGCAGCCTCGGGGACGGCAGAGGAAGCAGAGGAAGGCTTGCCACCGTATCCACCACCGACGGGGTAGGAGCCGGAGGGGATAGCGGAGCTCATGCTAACACCGGGAACAGAGCTGGAGCTGGCGCCAGCAGGGACCGATGAGGAGGCGGCAACGGGGACCGAGGAGGAGACACCACCGGAGGGGACAACGGCAGAGTAGCCGGTGCCGTAGGCGGAGGATGAAGCAGCAGAGCTCATGGTGGGGATGGCAGCAGAGCTGGAGGTAGCAGCCTCAGGGACGGCGGAAGAGGGGGCTCCGTAGCCGCCGCCAACGGGGTAGCTGGCCATGCTGGAGGTAGCAGCCTCGGGGGTGGAGACGGCAGCAGAGCTGGAGGCACCGCCAGCGGGGACGCTGGGAGTGTAGGTAGCATCGGCGGGGGTGCTGGAGGTCTCGAAAGCTGGGGAAGAGGACTGGATGTATGGGACCTCAGCGGACGAGGAGACGACCGGGGTGGCAACCGAAGAGGAGACGGGGGTTGCGACGGTGGAGGCCTCGGGGGTCTCTACGGGAGTAGCAGAGCTGACAACAGCAGAGCTGGCGGGGGCGGAAGAGCTGGCGACAACCGGGGGTTGGGGCTGGGCGCCGTATCCGCTGCCGTAGCCGTTGTTGCCACTCTCGTAGCTGTTTCCACCACCGTAGGAGTCGGTGGCACCGTATTGGCGACGGGCCTGGCGGTGGCTGCGAGCCTCAGCGGCATCGGCGGCGGCGAGAGCAGCCAAGAAGGCAACGGTAAGCTTCATCATGATGAAAGTTCAAAAAATCCTGGCTCTTAAAACTGAAGGGGTATTTGACGGGAATTCAAAAGGTCCAGGCGAAAACGTTGATAATCCAGGAAAGAGTGACTGGATGTTCAAAGAATGTGATGTCCGAAGACAGTTGATAGCGAGTGTGGTAAGGAAAAGTTGCCTTGGGTGAGGAGAAAAAACACAGCGAGGGAGGGCGGTATATGAACTCTCTGGCTGACAGTTGCAGGATGGGGCCTAAGCACCTGGGTGGCTGCTAACGGCAGCACAGATGCGCCTAAGATGGTCGGCCCCTGGCGGGTGTTAATTTCGTTCAGGAACAACCGGCGGCAGGGGCCAGTCAGCGGCGTTCTTAGCCAGGAACAACTTCAGGGGGATGCATGAGCCTAGCCACTCAGGAGAGCGAACGCGGAAGCTCGAGGCATGGCAGCCGCTGGGAAATGCGCCGGTCGCGAGCTCTCGTCGCTGAGAGGCGAGACTCTTCGTTGCCGTCGACTCGCAGCGCGGTGAAGCCGCTGGGAAAGAGGTCACGATCTTCTGCCTGCTCGCCACCCGTCGCGCTGGACGTGTGCACTGGGATGGCCCTCGACGCTCTCGTCAGTCCGTCTCTTTGCGTGCCGTCGACCCCGATTGATTGCGTTTCAAAGCGCTTGGCCAAAATAGAAAGCGACCATGGCGCAGATCCTCCCTGCTAGGAGCATCGACAGGAGCGGGTACATGGCAGATGCGCGCTGTCGGTGAAGGCACACAACCGTGCCGAGATTCAGCGCAAAGACGCAGCCGGGCGAGACAAAAATGGACTCGCGCAGACATGCGTGAGATTCGGTCCATTCTCGACTGCCAGCACACGGTGCGACAGGAGAGACATCAGCTCGTGTTGAGGGCGCTTTCGTGTTTGCGGGGACGCTTGTCGATAGGCGTGGATAAGGCAGCGGTGGAGCAGGCGATGGAGTGTTGGCCGTCTTTGTGCAAGCGTGGGCCATGGTGCGACGCGCGACCGCGACCTGCGCCTGCCGCCTCGCATGTCTGCACAAAGGGCCCCAAAGTGACTTCATCGCCGGCGCGCCTGAGTCGTCGTCGCTTTCGACTATCCCATGGTGAAGCACTGGAGCTTCCGTGGCTTCTAGTCGGCATCGCGATCCCTTCTGATGTCGCGTCGCCTGCAACGGTCCGCCGAACGAAGCCACAGTGCCACACGTCCTGCTCAGGCGCCCACCAAGGCCACACCCTACCATGTGCATTTGAGACATGCCACCGCTGTCAGTGCATTTCCGCATAACACACAGCCACAACCCCGTTCCCATCCAGCTTTCGCGACTACTTTGACCGTCTCAGTCTGTCGCAAGTCCTCAATTGCCTGAAAGCCTCAAACGCATCCACTCTGGCCCTCAGTGCCGCAATCCCAGTGCCGATGCACGCGATATGCACGATGCTGGAGCGACGTGCAACGGGCAACCGGGTCGTAAGATTGATGAGGTTCCACGCCTAGTCCCTGCAAAAGCTTGTCTTCTCGTAACGAGCGACATGAGCATGTTCTCGACTCTCAGCGAACGTTGACTGATCGCTCGGAAATGAGGTCGATAGCTCAACTGTTTTCGTCACGTTTCTGGTGTTTGTTTCCATGTTGCCGCCCGTCCGCAATGTCGCTGGTGCTTGTGTTGTGCGCGGCGTGCGAGGTAGATGAAGCAATACTGTTGAAGGTGCACATGAAATTCTCCAAACGTTGAGCGCAGAGATTTTCGACCGACCACAGAATGTGCAAGAGCGATGAGGCGCTAGAGACGAGTTCCAAAGAAGAAGTGACGATGTAGTCTCGCACCTTCCCGAGTCGCAGCATCTACGGAAAGCGCTTCCTACTGCGCGCCGTCTCCAGGTCAGTCAGCACTACTACATCCGCATGTCTCTGTGGCTTTCGCAATCGATTTCCGAATCGACGCCACTTGTTTCTCACCCCGCGACGTCACATGAAACATGCAGTCTCTACCATTTCTTCTTCCCCACCGTCACATCACATCACGCCCATCTACTCGGATCACGATTCCGTCACCCGCATCAACGGCCAGTACCAAGCTTTTCCTTCTTATCAAACTTCTTACACGTCCAACCTCCATCAATCTGCGTTAGCGGATCGTGCCGTCATTCGAAACAATCGCCGGCTTGAAACGAAACGTCAGCCCTGCCAGGCTATCCCAACGGCTACCTAGGTAAATCCGACGCACGCGGCTCGGTAGCCACAACACCAACGCCAGTCCTTCTTTTCGTGCCTCAGGTGCTTCAAGGCATTGAAGTGCCAAGGTGTAGTAGATATGAGGGGCGGACGTCTCCACGATACTACGACTTCTACTGCTTCTTGTAAATGGTCTTTGGGTCTGCCACCGGCTCAATGGCTAATCTCGAGTGTACACTTGAAGAGTAAAGTTCTAGATCGCGTTTAAAGCCGAACTCTACCTCGCGATCCCGGAGTCATCAAGAACTGATTGATTCGTCCAGGCATATCCATGGGCATACTGTACATTATGACGTGCTGCATCGGAAACATGCACTTGGGAACGGGTGGTCGCTTAGTGCTGACTGCGAGAGTCCAGGGTAATAAGTACCCATGTACACTATTTCGTCGCTTCAGCTACCCATTCTGCAAATAAAGTTTATATCCTTAGGCAGAAGTAAAGCTGCGAGAGATCCTGATTCCAGTTCCCGCTGATGCACTACATCTCCTAGGGAGAACCTAAATCAAGTATACATCCCGCTCTTCGAAGCCCGGCGTCTCTTTCGCCACGTCCACCAATACCTTGTCTAAAGATTAACGTACTAGTTTCCTGGATCGATATCTTCAGATGCATTAAGCTTCCTCTACGCGATCTATCCCATGCCGTACGAACATACCGAGACTGTCTGCTCACTTCACGGGTTCCAGGTCGATTCTTTGTTTCCCAAGCCATAAACAGTAGACTTGCCATGTACTCAGCACATCTCTCCACTGCCCACTCTGGGAGTTCAGTCATCTTATTGTCATACGTGCCTTAGACACTTCTGGGAATGAAGGATAAACAGATATCACACGGAAGCCGAGCACATCAAGTCCTATAGCACAAGGAATAGCACGTCACTGCAGATACAAACGAAATCAAAGGCTGCGCAGCGCTTTCAAATTTCGAAGAACTCTTTCTAGAAACGACCGTAACATCATCTACTCAACACTTTTCAACACATAACAAAGGTAAGGACAGTGTCAATCATAACTCTTGGTACCCTTCGATCAGCCAGCTTCTTCAGCCAACCATCTACTCATCACTCAACACTTCCACGTAAGCTGAACACCGCAATCAGTAGCAAAAGGCGGGCTAACGCGAGAGCACTGCGCATTAAAACCGCCATCAGCGTTCTCGATCCAGCGTGTATCAGTTCCGCACCCTCTGACAACATCTTTGTACGGAAAGAAATTAGCCACAAGGACGCGTCTGTGATTTGCAACTCGGGGGAAGCAGAGGCATTACTCACAGCTAAACCCGTTCCTCAGCTTCACCGGGGAGCCGCAGTTGGGGTTTACCACACCACTGCATGAGTTGTCGCCGTAGATCCACATCACTGGACTGTTGTCAGATTTCAGTTCAACGTCGAGGAGGGAGGCGACGAACGGTTGTTACTATCGTTGTTGCCCAGAGCAATGGTAGCCGTGGCCTGAGAGGCGAAGAGGCCAAGCGCTACTGCGATGATGGAGATGGAGTGCATGATTGTGGTTGAGCGTGGAGATCTTGGTTATCTTTGTGAGGTGTTGAGGTGAGGAGGGTGGTGGATATTCGTTGCAATCGATCATGACTTTATACTTGCAGTTCATCATCGGCATGTACTTGCTGATATCGTAGCGTAAAGTTGCATGTTGATGCCGTCGCGATATCTACAGCAAACAATACAACACGGAGTGGAAAACTTCCTAGGTCGTCGATGAGACTTGTTGCATGCTGATGTTGGTGTAGCACTTGTCCATCTGGATCCACGGGATAAATGGCAAAGCTCGCCGCATTCACGCTCTCAGCAGATATGCGCCTCGTTCATGTGGGACAATTTACTTTAGGGTTGACATGTACCACGATGCTCGTCTGATATGGCAAGTCTTAGGTACTTGGCGTCAGCAGTAATATATCTTCCGGCCTCAATGTGGTCGCTCCGTGTCACTGCCGAAGAGCAGGAATGTTTGTCATTGGAAATTCTGAAGGCTAAAATGGGAATCGCAAACGTCTATATCTATCCAGCGACGACTCAGCATGTGCACGTGATGATGGGTAGATGCCTGGGTTCATGTAGTGGAAGTACAAAGCTCACTAATGGACACGAAAACACACCTAGGTATTCTGAAAGTAACCGATATCTAAAGTTTTGAATGGCAACACATCAATGACCCAAGATACGGTGTATAGATGTGGATTTGTCGTTCTTAAGCGTGTGGCTTTGGTAGGCCAACTGCGTGGAAGCTCACGTTTGGCAAGCTGCAACGAATACTCGGTATAGAAGAATACATCATCTTACTTCTTGTAAGCCTATCAATTGCGAGAGTGATGAGTACACACACGCGATATCCGTTGTCTCGTACGACTTTGAATGAGCGGGCTTGTTCGTGTTGTACCTAGGTAACCGAGCCCTGGAGGCTTTTGCTCAACATTGCCCCACTTCTGGCGCGCAAATATTAGCAAAATCCTCAACAAGCGCAACAGCTCTCAGCTTCATTCCAACCAGGATGTGTTCGTCATTGCAGCAAGCATCTCTTCTTCCTCAAGCAACCGGCCCAAGCCAATCGTCTCAATGAAAAAGATGTAATTCGCGTCAGCCTCAGATAGTGCGATAGAGGCGACACTGTGCCAGAGGATATGAGCAAGCCCAGGGATCCTCCGGCTAATTTCAAAAATAAGAATAATCTTGAAGTTCCCGTAGGAACGTTCTGCTTCAACGTTAGTAACAAAATCTTCGAGCGTAGAGGCGTGAGGGGAGACATACTCAGAGATTAAACTGAAAAGAACAGATACTACACTTGATCTAAGCCAAAAGGCAAAGAGAGCTACAGAACAGAAGGAGGGACGGAGGGGGGTGGGTTTATATAGCTGGGGGAAAAGTCTGAGAGGCGCTAGGGAGCTAGTGGCTTGGGGGCGTTGCCTGGGAGATGGTGACGTGGAAGGACGTGGAAAGACGCAAAGGTGGGTTGGGAAATGTGGGACGCGAGGGCGGTGACGGTGGATAGCTCGAGGTGGGGGGACAGGCAGATACAACTGCTGCGATTCGATGTCCAAGGGCTGTGAGAAGCCGGCCTTCCGTTGTGCAATGAACACGAGCCGCAGGTCGAGTTGCATAAGATATGCATAATTGTGCTGCTACAGACTGATAGATCCAGGCGAGTCCTTGCATAGTTGTGAGAGGGCGGTTTGGCTGGAACCGACTCATGCGGCGTGGCGGCCAGCGCATTTCGTACCTAGGTAGCGATGGCACGCCAACCTAGGAAAAAAACTGAACACTCTAGAGTCTACGTTGACGTTAGGTCACCTACTTTGTAGGTTCTTGTCTTGATGTAGTCTGCAGACCTGTTTGGTTTTTTTCTTGTATAAGGTGACGGCGTACTTCGATTTTGTCGGTAGAGCGAGCGCGTCTTTACTCACTATGTCGCTGCTGCTACGTAGGAAGTCCTTTCAAATTCATATGGGCGACTTTCCCAGGTTCTTCGGGAGGCCCACCTGTATGGCCTGAATACCCAGGTACCTAGGTAAGGTTGGCGAACACAGTACCAAGAGTCAACGTCTTTGTCGGGTTTCTAGGAGCCGCTATCGTGACGAAGTTGTTGTTTTCGAATTTCGTGTCAGCTATACCAAGCCGTAGAGGTATGCGCTGGATTGGAAGTTAGCATGTGATGACAAGTAGCGTGGTAGGTCCATCCACGGTCCGGGATCTGTTTTAGTTACCTGGGTACCTAGGGTTTATATCATAAGAAGGACGTCTTCATAGCAATCGACATATGAAAGAGAAGGGAGGTTACGGCAGTACTAACTGAGGACGCCGTACACCGCGGTTGCGTACCTACACAGATTCGCGGGCTGGCCGCAGCGACACCACCTTGGATAGCCACACGCAGTAACGATCGTATATTGCCATGGATATCTCTTACACGCGCGCTGGATTCGCAACACAACGTTGACGCTTCGGTGTTGTCGGTCTGTAGTTATGAGCGGAGGAGTCTGGTTTGTGTAAGCCGCGAAGAGTGGAGCAGACCTACTCTGGGAACAGTACAACAATCCAGCCCACTAAACGAACAGTCACAACGAGCGCATACTGATAACTCAAGTCATAGAAGGTGATTGCAAGAGCAGATGGATGTAGGCTTCGCAAGAACGGGGATGGGTAGCGAGTATCTAGGTAACGTGGTGGGATTGAAGTTCAGGCAGCCACGACTGAGCGCCGCAGGGTCGCAAGTACTGTCTCGTTTCAATCAAGGGAAAATCTGAACACCCTGGAGCCTACGTTGACGCTGGCTCTGCTAGTTTGGCTATTCATCGCAGTGTATGAAGTGGACTTGTGTCCTGTCGACATCTCATCGTCTTTCGCACGTATCACATTTTCACCGCCGACCCCCTCTTCCCCTCTTCTTCTTTCCCCTTCCACCATCATCAGCAGCCTTCCTTTTCTTCGCCTCCTTCGCCTCTCCAATCGCCCTCTTCTTCTCCACCATCTCATCCGTCTTCTCCTCGCCGAGCACGCCGCGAAAGTCTTCGAAATCGAGGTCAACAAAATCCATCAGCATCCTTTGCGCCAGCCTATCCACGACACGATCTAGCGCTAAACGTTTGAGGAGCGGGATCAGCAGCTTCAACTCCTCCATCGTAACACCGCGGTCTCCCTCATTCGAGCCGCGAACTGGCGCTATGTTTTTGCGGAATGGGAAAGAATCGCGGATCATTTCGCCGACAGGTATGTCTGGTCTAGAGGCTACTACTTTCGCTCGCTCAATGGCGGGTTCGAGGACGGTGGTGCTGAATTGTGGAAGAAAGGTTTCTGAAGCCCAACCCTCCGAGTCTTTGACTTGGGTAAGCAGTTGGATCAGCCAGGGGAGATCGTTTAGGAATCCACCAAGATGGGGGAGAAGAAGGAGTGGAACTTCCTCTCCAAAAGTTTGTGATATGATGACGAAATCTTCAACCTCGTCGTCCTTGACTTTCCCTTTGCGAACCTCTGCCATTGTCGTTGGCGCACGCAGCTTCTTGAGACAGTACTCGCGTATCGCAGGCTCAGCCACCGGCACGTGGTGCTGCAGAATCTTTCGCATGGGATTCAAATCATACCGACTGATAGCCATGGAATCTGATGCTCTCGGCTCGAAAACAATGTTGCAGTAGCGTTGAATATCGGCGTCTGGGATCTTGCCGTTGAGTTTGGCTATGTCTTCGAGAAAGGTCTCCATGCCAGCGAAACTTGAGTTGTTGGCCATGGAACGAAGCGTATTGCCGAGAAACTCTTCGTTGAGCTCGCCGCCGTTTTCAAGCAGTGGTAGGCAATCTCTGAGGCTAAGGAATTTACTGTTAGATACTGTATCGCGGATGATGGAAGCTCGCCAGGTAGCCATGGCAGCTGGTATGTTTGACTGAGCACTCTCACTACAAAGGTTATCAGTACTTCAACTGACGCGCTAAAGCAGTTCATTATCACTTACTCGTCTGCATCTCCAGCTCGGTCGTACGCTGCCTGAACTTTACCACACATCTCCATCTTGTCTTTGATACTGTTCTGGGTTTTGATGAACCCGTCCGCCTTCTTCAGGTGCTCGACATCTTGTGTCTTGCATAACAAGCGACCTATAGCATCGATGGTCCGATCGGCGCGCACCTCGCGTCGAAAAGAGGCACTGAGCTGTTCCATAGCCTTCTGCCACAGATTCGCGGAGCCAAACTCGATGCACACAGCGGTCAGCTGGTCCAACACCTCCCCGGGTATCAAGGGAAACCTTGCGCACATGAAAGTATGCCCCTCTTTTCGGTAATCGCCTGGGTCATGGTACTCTAGTAACAGCTCGCAGAGCTTCTGCAGTCGCGGAACACTAGCCGGGCCTGCGTGGGGTGCTCGCACTTTCTCCGTTGCGTCATCGAGCAATTTGATGATAGGTTCCGCTTTGGCATATTCCCATCCAGCGACCATGAAGAGAGCAGCTTCAACTCCTTTGCCTTCAGGACTGAGCATAAAACGCTTACGAATATCGAAGGCGCGAAGATTGCGCGGAGGAATAATGACGAGCGCATTCTTGAAATGTCTTTGATCAAGTTAGCTTCAGACGTATAAAGATGGGCTGACCTTACTGGTGAAATAGCTCAGCCTCCATACCACCACCCATCTCTTTCCCTTCAACCTCAGTTTCAATCTGAGCAGCCTCATGTGTGAAGGCTTCCATCTGTGTGACTTCACTATCTCGTACGGGTAGTCGCAATGCACGCAGCTTTCCCTCCAAGTCAACGACTCGCGTCAAGTTTAGCTGGTCGACCCTAATAGTGTGGTCTTTGGTTGGATCGATCTTGGGACGGCTGTTCTCCCATCTTCGGGCACCGCGGATTCCTACGAAGAGATTACAGCCGAGCAGTTTCTTTACGGACGCGAAGAATAATGTGAACTTGAGCTCTTTGCAGACCCTTTTCAGTGTATCAAAGTCCGACGCGTCCTGGTCCTTGAGTGTCGTAGGTAGCTCTGGGAGCTTGTACACGTTTTGAAGTACGTGAATGAGTAGGTGAGGAGAGCGAGTCCCGTCGCCATGGTTTTGCCAGCTTTTGAGCGCCGCAGTCAGGGCTTCTTCTTTCTCGGACTGAGTCGAGAGAGAGAGCGCGGTAATAATTGCATCGTGCAATGTGCGATCCGGGATGATAGTGGGCGCCGACATAACGGCGATTTGCGTTAAGAGACTCAGGTCTGTGATGAACGTGGAGTAGAAGAACCCCATCAATCGAACCCATGGAATTCCCGTATGCGACCGTTTGTTTGCTGTGCGCCAGTGACCGTGCGCTTTGTCCCTAAATGAGCCGATTGATGTAGGCATTTGTCAGTGTGCTTACACATTCACCTTACCAAGACAATTTGCAGTGTACGTCAATATTGAGTAAAAAGTCTGAGATGATACGTGATCCATTGCATTATCCCACTTCACCGCGTATCAACATCTCGCCATCATCCCACAATACCAACATATCTTCATACCAATGTGCCCAAACGCCCTGATCGCTATGCATAACCCTATTACCAACACCAACGCCATTACCGATGCTACCACCAATAATTACATAAAGTACAGATACCATACACCCCTCCCTTGGAAAGGAGACACGACATACGTAGCTTTGCCCATTGCTGCTCTCTCTATGTACACACGCTATTCTACTTATCGTCCCAATAGTCCGGAAAACCAGTTTGCCAGGTTCTTTCCGCCCATGCTGGGGGTGAAGGAGAGGACACTGTCCGTGTCTCTATCTCTATCGCTGTCGCTTTGTGGAAAACTGTCTGTGCTGCTACTCTCGGGCGTGTGCGGGTTGGCATCTGGCGTCTTCTGCGAGTTGGACTTGGTCACTCGGGGAGAGGCGCGTGGGAAAGTCATGCCGCGGGCACGTACGGGCGATGTACCTGAGCTGGGTTTGTCGCGACCGTGGAAACTGTGAGAAGGCTTGGGTGCGCGATATGAGTGAGAAGCTCTAGGCGTTCCACCTCGCGAGATTGCGAGTCGTGGGCCGAAATTCGAAGGAGGGATCGGCGATGGTGTGTCTGTGTCGCCGGAATAGGATGTTGGTGTAATAGATGTTGGTATATCGCGATGTATTCTGGGCATAATGCTTGGTCGCGTGGGCGGATGTATATCGTCTGTCTCTGATTTCGAAGAGGTGTCATCGATTTGTGTTGCGCTAGTCACGACTCTGATGGTTGAGATGAGCGGGTCTGTACTCTCTGTAGAAGTAGAAGGAGACGAAGACGTGAGCGTAGACGTAGACGTAGATGACACTGCCGCTACTGGTAGGTCCAGCCCCGTAGCTGCGGCAAATCTCATTTGCATCGATAGCGGAACGCCGCCGGTCTTGACCCAGGGGCGAATTGTGAATTGTCTTTTCGGGAGATCTAGGACCATGGATCAGCTCAAATACAGACGGGAAGGCTAGGAATAGATGGCAGGTGTCTAGGCAGGACCACCTTCATCTCCCTTGGCCTCCTCTGCATTCTCTGCTGGAGCTTCCGCTTCTCCGTTCTGGCCATCAGCACCGTCGCCGTTTGGTTCAGCAGCCGCGGCGGCAGCGGCAGCGGCAGCAGCTTCGGCTTCCCTCTGCTGTTTTTCTGCCTTGGCTCTTTGTCTTGCGGCTTCTCGCTCAAAGTTCTCCTTTCGTGCGCGCTCATCTTTCGCTTTGCGGAGGCGCTCTGCTTCCTCGACACCACCACTCTTCTTGAGCTTGCCTTCCTCAACAAAGTTTCCGAGCTCGCGCTTAAATTCGTCATCGTTCCTCGTCTCCAGATCACGCTGTCGCGCCTTCTCCGCTCGCTCGATGGCCTCAAGCCTGCCTTCGTGGTTTGGTTGCAGGGCCTTGACTTCTCCAAGTACTCCATCGCGGGCCTGGCGTGGATCCACAACTTTGTCGAGAGCAACTGCATTGAGCATGTTACGGCCACTAGCTGAACGCATCCCCTTTCCAGACTCTTTCTCGCTTTCAAGATTCTGCTGTTTGGTCGCCTGCTCGACCAGCTCAAGTGTTTGGGCTGCTTTCTCGAGATCATCTTGCAAGTCGGCTGCAAGTTCCTCCTGCATAGTGAGCATGTCTCGCTCCTCACACACAGTCTGCAACTCCTGTTCCCAAATCTTGGTCCAGAGAGGCTTCTCCTTTGCCAGAAGATCTTGCAGCTTCTTGAGCTCGGCAGTGGCTGTCGACAGGTCCTTGGCGGTAGTCTCGAGTTGGCGGGGCAGAGGTCGCACGCCCCGCAGAACGACGTCCTTTCTGAGGTCTTCAACAAGATCTTGTAGGTCATCTACCCTGTTGACAATCTTCTCCGAGTCGTCTTGCAGGCCCTTCTTGCCAGCGTTAATGTAAGCGCGACCGCTGTCTCCATCGAGTGCGGGTAAGGCGGCCTTGATAGCAGTCGACTTCACAGCACTGGCCTTTGTGCGTATGGTGGACATGCTAGCTTGTATATCCGACACAAAAGATGAGTATGTTTGTCGCATGACAGCCAAATCACGGCGTAGCGATTGCACCTCGCTTACTTGAGTGGCTGAAGTAACGTTGGTTTCGGAGGGTGTGCCTAACGGTATAGGACGAGAGGGTAGCAGGGCGGAGTTGCGAGCTGAGGAAAGAGGTGCGGCTGATATTCCAGCAATCTCCTTTGTCGTTTGCTGTTGACGTTCGGCCACGCGTTGTATAGTTGCTTGCTGGTCCTCGACCACTGTCTTGATGCTCTCCACCAGTTTGCTGAGTCCGCCAAACTTGTCATCGATATGGCTCTTCACTTCGTCTAGTTGCTCTACGTTCAGGACGAGTACAGACCTGTCTTTGATATCATTAATATCCTCCAACTCGTATCGTACACCGGAAACGGGGTCCTGGATGTGGATTTCAGGCAGGTCGCCGTAACGGTGGGTATCCCAGGCGAACTTTTCGATAAAAGCGAGTTGCAGGCGGGCTGAGGAAAGCTCGGCACCATCTGTGAAGACGTATTTCTTAATCTTGCTTTTGTACTGGAGAAACAAGGTAAGCTCTTTCCCTTGTTGAGGTGACTGCTCTGGAATGAACTGAGAGGGCTGTGGAGAGGGCGTCTTGACTCTGTAGGAGCTGTTGCGGCTGGCTGTAGGCCTGGGCGGGTCTTCTTTCGCTGGTGACGCGGCTCCTAGCTCAGCTGGCTCTGATAACGGACCATTGAGCGTCGCACCTAGCGAGAACTGGTCGCCTTCTGGGAATTTCGGCTGTGCGAGTTTATCGTCTGGCGTCTTCTGTACAGGACTGTCTTCAGGACCCGACTCTTTTGGTGGCAGAATGCTCGGCGTGGCGCTTTGCGAACTTTCCTCGGAAATGCGTCTCTCGTTGGGCTGATCAAAGGAGAACTTTGTTTCCACAGCGGGCCTCTGTTGCGTGAGACTCTGATTTGACCGCTGGCGACTGTGCATCATGGACTGCCTGGTCCGCACTGCGTTCATAGACTCGCGTACATCCCGACCCCTATTCGGTATGGGCGAATTCTGGACTGGTGGAAGTGGTATGCCATTTGTTCCAAGATGCTTCTGGATTTGGTATGCTGAAAATCGGCGCGAAGCCCTGCGCTCCAGCTCGCCACCTCTTTGCAATGCCGCGAGCGCATCTTCCTGTTTCGGTGGAGGTGGAGGTGGTGGGAAGTCGACGGGGTAGTTAGGCCGCGGTGGGTCAGGTGGTTTGGGCATGGCGTCGTCTGCGGGATACGGAGCAATGACAGGCATCTGCTGGGCGGTGCCGCTCGAAATGGAAGAGTCGTTAGATAGCGTGCTTGCGGCGGTCGAACGGTTCGCTTTCGGGTTCGAAGGGAGGGCATCGTACTTGCTCGGAGAGGCGCGGCCGCCAGCTACCGAAGATGAGCGCGGTGGGA